CTGAGCTGCAACAGGAGAGAACGAGCTAGGAGTGGTGATGGGCTGACGACCAGTGGGTTTCTATTTATACATGTGCATCTCTAAACATCGGTGTTAGCAAGTGACAGTTGGGAAATTACATATCGTGCCGAGTCTAAGGAGAGACCCGATCCAAGCAGTGGCTAGTCGGCCTCCATCAACCCGGCCACTAGGCCAATGTTTAGTCATCAAACAAGCAGGCGCGTGCTCAAACTACGCATCCATAGACCTCGTCGACTGGCATTGGTCCACATCAACATTTTTTCCCCCGCTGTTCTACAGATCTCGAGGAACAACGAACGGTGCTGGATCGAACATTCATCGGTCATGGTCGAATTCATATTAATATTAATCAGTTTGGTGCGTGCTCTGGTTTTGTTCTGAAGCGACGAACTGGTAAGAGAGGGGTCGGACAACGCATACGATGTACATGATGACATGTCACCATCCACCTTACGTTGGCTCAAACTTTTGGAGCAATCATTTGCGTAATAGGAGCTCTATCTTTGAACAAAGCACGTGTCAGGTCTTGAACTTTATTTTGATACGGTCGATGGGTACGCGGTGCCGAGGTGTGCGTTTAGACCTCAATTGGAGCATGGCAGACTCGTAACACCCTCCCCCGCCCCCCACCCCCACCCAAATCTCTTTCGTTTTCGTGTTCTGCCTGCACTCATCAGAAAAAAGGGGCTGCAGCCTGCAGGTCATGATTTGAGCTGACACAAGTCTACACGACGTATGCATGTAGTACTCTGAAAGCATATCGGTTCCCAATTTAAGTTTTGGCAATTAACGACAATATTTGAGAAGTGATATTTTCATTTGAGATATGAAGGAAGATTAGGGTACTTTTCCCGGCCCCCGCGTCGCCCTGCTTGGGCGACACGGGCAGCCACGCCCACCTCCGTCAATCCCGACTCTCTCCCTCCCCGTGCCTCCTCACCGCCGCCGGAGCGTGCTGCCGGAGGCTGCGCAACCACGAGGATGGTGGTGGCGGGGACCTCCTCCCATGCTTCTCTCCTCTCCTCCCGACGGTGGTTCATCCTAGCGATGGTGGTGGCTGCTCCGGTGACCGGCGCTCGAATCCGCGGCTGGATCCGGTGAAGCGGGGGTGGATCTGCTCCTGTCCCAGCGTGAGGCATCATCCGCACAATGGTGGTCGGGGCTGGTGGCCGGCGGCCAGGTCTGTGCAGCACTTACCCTCTCCTTCCTGCGCCTGTTACTGGCCGGTCTCGGCCGGTCCCGGGGAGCTGCGGTATGTGCCGAGGTGGCCGTGCTGCGGCAGTGGTGGTTGGCAACACTGGTGTAACGGTGGCCGAGCGGGCAGCATGGTGCGTTGTGTGGTTGCGGATGTCTTCGGGGGCGTTCTGCAGGGGTTGGCATTATTTGGTCTGGCAGCGGTTCACGAGGATTGACGCCACGGCGACTTGCCACGCATGTCTGTGGCCTGTTTGTTGCGACAACGACATTCAGAAAGAGGAAGCTCCTGTGGATGTGTCATGACAATTGGCGTCGATTTGCAACATCCAACTCGGTATGCTACCTCGCGGATTTTCTGTGACTGGACACAGTGACGACAGCGGTCTACGCTCAGGCGCGACAACCTTATTGGGGGGAAGGGTTCTCTAGTGAAAGCCTTGGTTGGCTTTGTGCCGATGCCAACAATGATGCAGTGCCATGTCCCTCTGGAGGCATTGTTGTGAGGCCCCTTTTATCTCTTTGAGGTTTTCTCCGGTTCAAAAAAAATACTGCACTGAAGGCGTCCATGGACGCCTTTCCCTTCTTGGAGGCAAGGCAAAGGAGATCCTCTGTTGTGCCCGCGTTGTTCGTCCTTGCCGTAGTGGTGGTTGGTGGCGACCCGCGGGGGCCGATGGCGGCTCGGCTGGAAGCGGTCTACGAAGACCGGCGCGGAGGCACTTGCTCACGCTTGCCAGTGACGAGGACTGCTTCGGCAGTGACAACCAGCTGAAGGCGTCATCCTGTGGTCGTTGTTGTGGCGGCACGACAACGGTAGCCCCAGTGGTTCTGTGGTGTTGACTCTTTGTGAGGGTTGTATTTTGTTTTTTAAGACATTGTTGTACTTTGCTTCTACTCTACTAATACATGCACAGCAAATTTCTTGCTGGCGCCTTTCGGGAAAAAATGAGGGAAGGTTAGTCCACATGGAGAATTGAGCTACATTAGATATCATGAGATTATCCGAGGATGAAATATAACCAGGTTGATAGGCTAGGTATCCTCACTGTCATGCACTTAGATATACACCATGTCTAGATGCATACCAAAAGCAATGTGTCTACAAATACCAACACGCTTTATAATTTAGAACAGAGGGAATAGTTCTAGTGCAGTTTTTCTTAAGTAATTGGATTGTATGCATAAGAATGTGTGGGGCTTGAAAAATGCGAAAATGATTCTTTGGAAAATGGTTAGAAAAAAAGCTAAATGGTCTTACTGAATGCCCCGGCCTCCTGATTTTTGTACTGCTCCTACTTCTTCCTTCTTATTCATTAGTAATAGGGAAATATGGAACTACTCATTCAATCATTTAGTTTGTTTATTTACAGCGGCGGTGCTAGCGTCCGGACGCCCGCGCCAGCACTCTGTCTCCCACGCGCACCTGCATTCGCACCCGCCTACGTGGGGCCTGCGCCGCTCGACTTGCAAGTGGGGAGTCCCCGCTTGTGCCTCCTCTGTTTCTCACGCACATGCACGCGGCCAGCAGCTGCAGTAGGTGACTACAGCAGGTGGCTACGCTAGCATCCAAAAGAGGGAGAGGGGTTGCGGATGCCCAGCCGGCGCCGGGAGAAGGAGGAGGAGACACCGAGGTGAAGGTGAGGCAGTAGAAAAAGCGAGGACAGAGATGCAACACCCGATCTACTTTTGAAACATCTGGATACAACACTTGCAACATGCGTCTAAAGGCAGATGAAACACATAAAACATGCATCTAAAACACTAGCTACAATACCAGATCTACTTTTGAAACATTCAGATGAAACACTTGCAACATACGTACGAAACAACTGAAACACTCGAAACATGCGTTTGAAACACTTGCAAAAAAACACCTAACAACACTTCATACGTGCGAAAAACATATGCATCCAGATGAAACACTTGCAAACATACGTCTGGAAAATGAGATGAAACATTTGGAACATACACTTGAAACATACGTGTATAGCCATTGCAACATGTGCAACATTCCGATATACTTTTGCAACATCAAGATGAAACACTTGCAACATCCAGATGAAACATCTAAAACACTTGAAACATACTCTTGCAACATGGGCTTTGCTTGGACGAATGGAGGCACGCCGGCACGGAGGTCGACAGTGGCGCATGGACCTCGCTGTGCAGCAGCGGCACAAGCAACTCGTCGGCAGGCGCGGCGTCACACGAATCTCACCCCCTCGTCTGCTTGCTGGAGCATCCGTCGTGGAGGCTCGCCGGCTCGATGGAGGCGGTCGCAGCGAGGAGGCAACACAGTGGAGGCGAGCGAGGCAGAATGGGCCCAGTGGGGGATTCGGCGTGAAGGAGGTAGCGTAGGGAGGCAGCGCGGAGGAGGCCACATGCAATGGGCGCGCGAGCTGTGGGGACGCGGCGCGGTGAGGGACCGGCGGTGGCAAGGTGGAGTGGGGTGGGCTGATGGGCACGTCGACGCAGGGAGGAAACGGCGCAACGAGCATCAGAGCGTGCGGATAGGGTCGCTGGGCGAGTAGCGCGTGCGTGAGTGAGTGGAGGGAGGCGTCTGTCCATCCGGACGTCTTAATTGTATCATTATCGTATTTATAGGCAAGTCAGGATGGAGTAATCCATTTAGAGGTCGTTGGGCCCAGCAAAATCTGCAAATAAGGCCCAGAATGCCCTTCTGGACTTCCCTAATATTAGGCCACAAAAGCCTGTCCAAACACCTGAGCTCGTGATTTCCTGAAGAACCCTGTCAGCTCTGTGGCCGACCCAACAGAACAAAATGTCAGGCTGGCTGGGATCAGGTTAAGGGTTAGCTCGAACTTACTAATTTTTCTACTGTGGTTGATGTAGTATATATCATGTCGTGTCTTGTGCAGGCATCATGTAACATCTGAGTGACAGTGAACACTAGCTCATCAGTCATCACTGACTGGCGTGGAGCTTAGCACACCTCTTAATTTTCAATTAGTCTGATGAAAATATACGAAACCATATTCTTCCTGTTCTTGATTAGGTAACTTACTTGGGCACTTCACTATCATCGAGTAACATGTGGATTCTTTTTACGGTTCTAGCTAGACGTAACACTGCAAAAGAAGACAGGCAAATTTACATAAAGAAGAAAACAAACAAAGAACGAAAAGGAGATGAAAGAAAGAATGGCAAATGAAAAGCGAGGAGAAAAAAAAAGGTTACATCGCATTATCAAAAGCAAAAGGGTTCCAAAGCATAATCAGAGCCCGGTGATGATTCACAAAGGACATCATATATGGTCGGTAGTGGTAGTAGGACTCTGGGATGACCAAGCGCTTACATCGCGATGACGTCATGTTCTATATATGCACACTGCACAAAGCCACAAACCAAGCAACACGACGGCGGACGACACTTCCTCGATCGTCGCCTCCATGACTGGACTACTGCAGTGCAGTTTTCCATACCAATCATCAAACCCTAGCAGCTAGCTATATCTGCGTGTTAAGAAGAGTGCTAGTGTTTTCACTCTACATGGCCTTCTTTCTTTGGACGGTTCTGTATGTGCATTCTTATTGATCTAGACATATGAACTTGCCACTGCATCAAACAAACTACTTGAATTTGATGCACGAAACATCTCCAAGAACCGAGATGTTCGTTGCTCTATCCTCTTGCTTAGTAGCCCATTGCTGACTGAAGGTAATATAAGAATTAACCCCGTCCGTCCGATCAGACTGTTCTTAACCTCAGCCTTCGATCTCAACGGGACCCGGAAGGGATGCGTCCTGTTGCTCATGGTCATAGGCTCATAGCAGAACGGCAGATGGTTCGTCCACCACCAGGAGTTCAGGTTCCGCAACGGCGGGCGCGGTCTGGAAGTAGGTGGAGACTGGGTCCCTCTCCAACTCCAAGGCGCCGAGTGGGCTGAAGCTTGCTATGTGGTCCAGTAGGTCAGGGTGGGCCTGAGTATCCTCCGCTGGGCCCCACAGGCCCAGCTCCTTCTCCAAATTCTCCAACCACCAATCGTTCGCCGCTTCCTCTGCTTCGCTGGTGCTGCTGACGGCGGTCGTGCCCGTACATGGCGCTGTTGCATCCACGCACGAGGCGTCCGGCGCGCCAGCGCTCTCGCCGTGGATGAGGCTCCAGATCTCCGGCTCGATCTCGATCACGGGCAGCTCGATCAGCTCCTCCACGCCGCCGACGCACGTCGTCAGGGAGGACGACGAGCACGGCGACAGCATTGGCGCCTGGCATGGCTGCGCCGCCGGGGGCGCGTCCACCAGCATGTCCGAGACGTCGATGTCTTCTAGTCGGAGGAGGTATACGTCGATCGCGTCGTCGGGCTCCCTGCTCGTGCCGCACTGGTCGCCGGAGTTGTCGTTGCCCCCGGAACTGTTGTGGGTCGTCGTCGAGGAGGACGCCGAGGACGAGGCGGCAGTGGCCGGAGTGCCGGCGTCGCCGCTCGCCGCGCCGTCGTTCTTGTCCGCCGCGCCAGCCTTCTGCTTCTCCCGCGGCGCCACCTTCTTCTTCAGGTGCGTGTTCCACACGTTCTTGATCTCGTTGTCCGTCCTCCCCGGCAGGCAGGCAGCGATCTTAGACCATCTGAAAAAGATCAAATTTGTTCGAAACATCAGTCTCTTATACCACTACGCAAGAACCTCAGATGGCCAGATATCAACAGCAAGGATCGAGTCGAAATTCGCTTTCGCAACGATCGACGGCTTAAGTAACGCTTACTTGTTCCCGAGCAAGCCGTGCAGCCTTATGATGGTCTCCTCCTCCTCGGCGGTGAAGTTGCCGCGCTTGAGGTCCGGCCGCAGGTAGTTGATCCACCGCAGCCTGCAGCTCTTCCCACACCGCAGCAAACCTATCCATCCAGACAAAAAAAAAGGCATGGACATGAACAGGATCAGCAAACGCCCCAAAAGTGACTGCACATCCCTCCTCTGCTTCCAGCAGCAACTCGCCATGCACATTTGCCATGCCCAACTAGGCAACTAGCCTACTACCTGCTTGCTTGGGCAGCGCGCGCCAGTTGGTGTGGCCGTGCTTCTGGATGTAGGCGATGAGACGCATGTCCTCCTGCGGCGTCCAGGAGCCCCTGTTGAGCCCCACCTTGGCGCAGCACGGCGCTCGCCCTCGCCCCATGCCTCTCCCTGTCTATCAGCCTGTCACGGCTCCCGGGTTCTGGTTGGATGATGCAGAGAGCACGGCTTGGGGAGGGGCAGCAGGCGGTATATATGCGCAGTGAAGGCGGAGACGACAGGTGAGGTGACAAGCCCAGCATCAGTTGCCCTCGATCCGTCCCCTACCTCTCTTACCTCTGAGACTATTGCGCTTACCAAACCCCTGTCTCAGGAAAGCAACGCTCTATGGAGTATGGACAGGAAGCTTTAAGGGAGTGACGGCGTTCGTGGCTCAGATTACTCAGCGAGGGCCTACAGGGACTGTTGTTAATCAGGACATGCCCTCATTTTGGAGTTAGTAGGCCTGTTGATCTTACACGTGTACGAGCTAAGGACAATCTTAACCTGCTAATGCTTGTAAACAAATTAGCGTGAGAACTTTTTGGAGTAGTTGAGAAAAAAAAGTTAAAAAGCTAGCCTTTCTTCAGTATTCGATTGCAGTGTGTATATTCAAGCATATCCTCTACTATTGTATTTGGAATTCGATCAAATAATAATGTGCGTTTGTAATCCAATAACTTTTTTATTACTTCAAAAATAAACTCAGACTTATATATTATATCTGATTCGGATTGTATGTACCAGGTAAATGTGAACCTGAGCTGATAATCTTCTTTTAGCGGAATTGTTTTTTTTTTAGCGGAAGGGCTAATGATCCACTATAATCGAGCTTATATAAGAAAAATAGAATGGTTAGTTCATGGAATGGAGAGGCCTGTAAAAACTACTTCCTCCGCTCTAGATACATAGCTTGTTATGCACTTATATACACACTATGTTTAGAAAAATAAAAATATCTTATAATTTGACATGGAGGGAGTAACAAGTAGAATCAACCTTGCTAATGTTATTGAGATGAATCTTCTTCTGTTTTCTTTATCGAACAGCTAGGTCTCTAATGTGCATTTGAGTATAACCTTTAATGCGCCATACCATGTCTAGGTGCCACGGGATTTTCTTCGGGGCTTTCCTTTAGGAATGTGAATGTTTTTTTTAGAATCACACAATACAATGTAGACGCCCATAATATGCACACACACTCACCCTTATGAACACACTTATGTAAACCTTACCCCTATGAGTACCTCCAAAGGACTAAGCTGACAGATCTTAAAATTCACGAAGTCACCACATACGCCTCGCTGTCGACGGGAACGTCGTCTACTACTGAAAGCATAGCGCTGTTAAATACTGGAATAAATCCAGAAAAATGCGAGTATCCGTGCCAAGTCGAGAACTTAGAACCCGGGTGGGAAAGTTCCATCATAGGGAAATCACATCAAATCTAAATCTGTTTCATTTAAAAGCTTAAAAGGAAATAATTTTTTAAAGAGAACCGTTTCTCTTAAACATTACTTAAGAAGCTAGGTCGCATAAAATTTCTTGAAACATATCTCTATTTGGGTGCTATTCTTCTTCTTTGTGAATAAGTACTAATGTTCTTCCTTTAGAAGACTATCATAATAGGGAGTTGCTATATTTTAGGTGCCTGATTTTTTGAGACTTTTTAGGCAATAAGTCATAAGAGACAACTACTACAATTAAAAGGACAACTCACCAGAGACAATGAACTATTTTTTCTATAGACAAACAACGACAAAATTATATGTTGTTTGAATAACAACAAAAAACAAAGCACCTGATGTACAGGAGAAGTGATCTTAATACCACTAGTTTTTGAACTTGTTATTCCTTTATTAGACAACTATTGATCTTGTATTGGCCATGGTTGAAGTTCCTCATGCTTGTAATTGCTTTGGAATTCTTCGTGCTAGCACAAATACAAGATGTTCTTTTGGTTATTACTCAATGATAGCCTAAGTACTTGAGAGCTTCTAAGACGAAAAAACATGGAATTGTAGTTATACACGATACATTTGTGTTCTCTACACAACTTCTTTGGAGGAAAATCTCAATCATCATCACCTTTTGTAGTGCAATCTTGCACAAGACTGTTGGGTGCTCCTCAATCTGTTCATAGCTCACCAATGCAAATCTCCCCCTTTGAGATCCTTGAAAGCTTAGAATGGTAGTTGAGAGTTTTTTCTTCATGATGATAATCATTGTTATGAGTTGGAGCATTTGGGAGATATACAGCTGTAACATTCCACTCAGAAAAGCCCGGGACAAAAATGTGAAGTTTTTAAAACTTTTTCAAACATTGTGCGGTGATGTGCACATGTGATGAAAATAAGGGCACACTATCTTAAATCATAATTATTTTAATTTAATTTCATTATGGATTTGACCATAGTCTATGCATTTCATACCCACTATTTACTTGAGTTGCTTCTTATGAGTTTTTTACATGGTTGGCCTTCACTTAATATCATTTGTTTAAAATAAAACCTATGGGTGATAAGGCAAAAAGCACTCGGCTGAGGTCAAGATATCGTCAGGGTTGTTGCAGGCTTGCTCATGAAGAACTCGTGGGCTACTAATGAGTACACTGTTAAGTAATCTACTGCTCCCCTCTACGAACGCGCAGCAGGGATAGGCGCTGAAAGGCTCCCTACTGCTGCACTGTAGCCGCTGCAGGGGCAGGCACCGAAAGGCTCTCCTGTCGCACTGTAGCCACAGCAGGGGCAGGCGCCAAAGTCAGCCCTGCTGTCACATCTAGTCACTGTAGCAGCATGGCAGCCTGACATGTCTGTGTACTAGGATTATATGGGTAGAGTTGTATATATAGTTTTCCACTGCAACTCAGTAAATAGAGCGAGTTCAGTTTTGCCATCTCCTCTGCAGAGCTCCGACTAACGCTGGTGCTTGTGTTGTGTGTGTGTGCACGCTCTGTTCTCCCTCCCTTCTTCTATCTTTAGCCATAGTGTGTGATTGGCAACACTGGTGAGTGGTCGGCTCACCCGTGCCGGTGATCTAGGGGCTAACATACATAGCCCATGGATGTCATCACTGGGGACAAAACCGCCCCCTAGATAGGAGTACACTGGGGCGATTGGTCGAAAGTGAGAATTACTCGACGGTATCTTATTTACTTGATATGCAAGGCATAGATAGATATGCATATAAACCGATTCAATCGGGACTCTTGTAACCTACTCGGAAACTTATCTTAAAGCCGACCAAGATAGGAGCTCTCTAAAATCCTACCCCTCGGACTAGATATGGTGGGGCCTTGATTGGTACCTTATCTCATCCCTTAGAACCTAAGCAACACCAGCGCTCATCCTACGGCGCGCAAGCGTTACAATTCTATCGTACACTAGATGTAGGACACTCCTGTGTGGTATCCTCTGGATCTGCTATGTGTGACGCGACCTGTAATCACAGTCGATGTTAAAAAACTGACAGTCAGTTCCGTCTGTTTCCCGTGCAAAAAATTGCGGAGCTTTCGCTAGCTGGTACCATATGGGGTGACGCAGAACAATACAGAAGGAGCTGAAGCAAGTATACAAGGAGCCCTACCAAAGGGGCCTAAGATCGTATCTCGTTTCTATATTGTTAACCTACTTCCAAGTAATAGTTAATTATCGATATTAAGTCAATATAAGCAAACAAGTGGAAGAAAACAAACTACCTAATCGTGTTATTAAGTCAACATAAGCAACTAATAACTAATCAAATATTTAACTGCTTCTTCAATGGTCAATAGCTATGCTATTAGGCATGACATGACAACTATTTAAATACCATTGTTTTGGCGAGAATACACCTAATTTATTACTCTAGTCCAGTTGATTGTTAAGCCCCATTCCAAAACTTTAGGTCACAAGCCCCACATATTTAAATCACAATTCAAAAGAAAGAAGACGTACCAATTGGACCTGATTCCTATAGCAAATCTGACAACAGCGGTAAAGACCAAGACCACGCCCAGTAAATTAGCAGCGGTCATCAAGCAAAAGTTCCACGTTTACTGTCACTGTAATTTAGTATAAGTAGTGATGGCATGCCCGTTTCTCAGTAGTCATCGCGATAGACTATCCTTTCACATCTATGGACTTTGCTGCATACTGAAGACCAAGACCTATGGTGTGTACTGATTCAGTATATAAGCATGGTCTGAACCACCAGTCCCTTTCGAAGCCACAACCGCACAAGCTCTCAAGTCTTTGAGTTAGGGTGACCAATACTCGACTAGTACCTGTTGCTGTTTTACCTTCTCGCACCTAACCCTTGACATGTTTCCAATTGATTTGGCACCTATAGGAATTCGTCATGCGCCGAATTAGGGGACGCCATAGCTGCCATAGGTCACTGTGCGCTCATAAAATTTTGCACAGTTGCAGAGGTCAGGGGCACGAATCAGATGCTGGCTTTAACTGAAGTATCCTTGGTAAGTTTGGTTCATCAGGTCCCCCTACCTATGCCACCTGACTGACGTTCTAGCTAACCACATTGTACGCCTGATATATCTGAACAGGCCAGGCCTCTGGTTGCGATTGATGAACTCGATCGTAGCAACGAAAGAGACGTCGTCCCAGGCACAGAATTGGTGTATGTCAAGTAAACTTAGTGTATGCGTCGGCATCTACATCCCAATGCAAATAATAAATGATCAGTTTTATTTGGGAGCTAAAGGAAGAGACATGCTTATATACGCAAGAGAACTGGTGGCCTGTCAGCCTTGGTATTAGTATTTCTGGAGTGTGCATATATTAAAGATCAACAGGCAACGACGACATAAAACCTGTCTGTCTGACAGAGATTGTTCAAATGATTCCAATACTAAAAGCAATTAAGATACGCTCTGTCTAATGTGTAGTCGTAGTAGTACATTTAATCATGCATAATCATACATATGGAAATTGAACCGTCCTCCAGGTTGCGACTACCTCCAGAGCTCAGGAAGTAGATGACGCTTCCGACGGCCAAAAATGATGTAATTGCAGATCGATTAAGCTGTTGCTGTTTGGAAGCGTGCGTCAAGCTATTCCAATTGGAGGAAGTATTAGCCATATATACATGTGAACGGACAAGGAGGACGTGAGACATTTTTGCATC